ACACACACACCTTTTCCCCTGTCATGGTTTTACTTAGTCCAATTTTTGGTGGTGGGCGGGATGGGACTAAGAAACCAGAAAGATGGCTCTTAGGAGGAAGTTCTAGAAACTTTCTCCTTCTTCTTCTTCTCCAGCAAAAGGAGCCCTACCCCTTGTGTTTTAGAGCCAATCCATTATGGCTCTGAGGTTGATGGACAGGCTGCCCATCAGGCCTGGGCCAATTGCACAGGTTGGTTACACCTCTGTGATGACGTATCGTCGAGTACTTAAGAAAGAATTCAGAACAAGACAGGAGCGGCCGCCATGTAGTTCTTAGGTTGTTAGCATGTAGTTTTAGTATCGTGCACCGGGAAAAAATAAAAGGAGGGTGAGGAGATGTAAGAAGAAAAATGGAGACCCAAAGATCACAGTAAGGAGGAGATGGTAATGGCTTGCTGTGCTGTGGTTCTCGAGCATGGAGAAAATAAGTGTTCTTGAAAGGACTATTTCATCAAAGAGAGACCTGAATAGAAGAAGGAGAGCGACCTTGCTCTGAAAAAAAACCTGGCCTTTGAGGACTGGATTAAACTGCCAAAGAGGGGGAAGAGGCTTGGCCCCCCACAACGTCTGAAGCGAGTTGATGCTGAGAAGAAATCGTGCTCTGCGTGGAGGAGGAGATGCCCCCGCCCTACGTCTGAAGTAAGTGGATGCTTAGAAGAAGCTGTGCTCTGCCAGGAGATTTGTGATAGTGGTCTTACGCCGCTGAAACAACGCAGTTTGGCCTTGAAAGACATTCTTTCTTTTTCTCCTACAAGGTAAAGAAAATATTCCCTCGCCATTAGCAGTTATACACTGACTGTCTCTTGGGAAGAGAACTTCCACAGCTTGGAGCTGTGAGAACGCTTCTCCTATGATGCTGGATGACAACTGTAATAAGTAGTTTGATCTGTGTTAGACGTTCATTCCTGTCCCGTGTGTGCAGGAAAACATGGGGGATGGAGAGGGAGGACCTGGGAAAGAGATGGGTCCCAGAAAGGATAACAGGTGTCTTAAAATGTCCGTTTTTATTTTTCTTCTCCTTGTAAAGCTGTCCCTAATCTTTGTTACCCTCCCCAGTGCCGTAGTATTCTTAGTAGTTTGTAGTAATAAATCTATTTTGCGACTTAAGTTATTCAGCCTGTCTGACCATTCTCTGGAGCACATACGTATCTTTCTCTCAATTACGTTATGTTATCTGAAAGCCGTAAAGTTTCGTGTTAATTGGGCTTTTGTTCTCCCTTCTCCCTCTTCGGTGGGGGGAGGGGAGAGAACGTCGTGGGTGCAGTGCTTTTGGCTTTCAGCACAGTCTAAACCATGACATTTTTGGTGCATTGGCCGGGAAATTGGGAAAAATCAGGTTTTAAACCCACGACATCCCCCAAGCCCAGAACTCTCATGGGGGGAACTCTGCTCTGCCCAGAGACCATGAGATAGGAGCAGTTCCTTCTCCACAGCTTCCCCTGTGAGTTTGTAGAGGAACTTTTCTCCATCCATCTCTGTCCACCATCGGCCATGTGAGAAAGCTGAAATCAGCCGGGACCCACGCCACAGCGCCCCCTGCAGCCTGGGGGGAATCATCGCTCCCACCCTGCCCAGCCGGGAGCGAACAGCGCCCCTGGCGGCTGTGACTGTAACTGCACCAAAGGGGAGGGTGTGTCACTGTGAGGCTGTCGCTGGGTTTGTGGCTGGGTTGGTTGTTGCTATCGCTATTGTTACTTGTTTCACCTTGTTATACATATCAGTAAAAACTGTGATTTCCTTTTTCCCATATCTTTGCCTGAAAGCCTGTGATTTCAAAGTTAAAATAATTTGGAAGGAAGGGGGTGTCATATGCACCATTCCGAGGGGGGTCTCTGCCTTCATCGGCAAACACCTGTCTTTCAAACCAAGATACCATCCCACCCCTCATGTCTTCCCCATGGTCACACAAGAGGAGCCACAGCTCCACCCTCCAATGTCCCAAGTGCCATCATGGTCTCCTTGCCATGTCAGGGTTGGAAAACCAGAAGGTTAAAATTACATAAAAAAAGAAAAAGGGCAAAAATCAGTCTGGCATCTCCCTGGCTGGGGCACATCGGGCTCTGACACTGGGTCTGGTGACTCATGCTGGTGCCACACCGCTCTTCCTCACTCACCTCCACCATCACCTCCTCCTGTGGAAAAGCAGCAAGAGAGTCTGGGGAACCTCTCGCTGTGGCTTTGAGTGTTACAGATAAACAACTTCCTGTGTGACATTTTACAATGAGAAATAGAAAAAGGTAAAAGAGCTCAGCTGCYGCAAAAAGAGACATTTGGRTAGCAGCTGAGGAGCATTTGTGAGAATACCAAAGARTACCTCCACTACTCCTACTCCTCTCAGTTGTTGGATCCCCTCCTCAATAGTCTTCCAGGGCATTCTGTGAGACTGTTCCTGCATCCTGTCTCTGTGGACAAACCTCTCTCTCATGCTCATTAAAAGCCGCTCCCAGAGAGAAAGGGGCCCTGGCACTTTCACAAACACCTAATCAACACTGATTAATACCTGATCAACACCTGATCAACATTGATTAATACCTTATCAACACCCAATCAACACCTGATTAACACCTGATCAACATTGATTAATACCTTATCAACACCCAATCAACACCTGATCAACACCTGATCAACATTGATTAATACCTAATCAACACCCCCAATCAACACCTGATCAACACCTGATCAACATTGATTAATACCTAATCAACACCCAATCAACACCTGATCAACACCTGACCAACACCACCTGATCAACACCTGATTAACTCCTGATCAACACCTGATCAACACGTGATGAACGCGTGATCAACACTTGATTAATACCTAATCAACACCTGATCAATGCCTGATCAACATCACCAATCAACATCTGATCAACACCTGATCAACAGCCAATCAACACCTGATCAACGCCTGATCAACACCACCAATCAACACCTGATTAACACCAGCAATCAACACTCGATCAGCACCTGATCAACACCTGATCAACACCTGATTAACGCCTGATCAACACCCCAAATCAACACCCGATCAAGGCCTGATTAACTCCTGATCAACACCTGATCAACACTTGATCAACATCTGATCAACACCTGATCAACACCCGCTTCCTGGGTCAAGGCCCCCAAATTCCTCGTCTGTACACTATCCAGTGTAGTTTGGGCCATAAGGCCCGAAAATCGATGTAACCAGAAGAAAGCCTCGTGCCCATCATACAATGTCATCTCG